CTGTCATTGTTTATGGAAGTAGAAAGCCCAATCTTTATCCTGAGGGACTGCTGGTAATTTTGAACTGCTGACCATGTGGATTGCAGTCCAGCTTGTAACCACTACACAATATACGCAGACACACACATACAGACACACACACAAAACCAGTGATATATCATTGCTTCTTTAGAGAACCCAGCTTAACATAATCATGCTCTCATTTTTGCCCTGTAACGTATATTAACTGTTGCATCTTATATTTCACTCAAGAGCATCTTTTCTGAGTTAAGTTAGCCTTTTGAATCAAACTAAATTCCATGTGACTATTTTTCTTTAGCATTTTTCTAAACTGATTCTTAGCTTCATCGAAAAAAATCTTTGTTGAAAATAGGTCTTCTTCCTCTGATGTTTTTTTGGATAGGAGAATTTTTTTAAATTGATGACTTATTTTGATATTAAAATTGGGATAAGATCATTTTAATGTATTATTGAGAGTTGATACAACATTCATATAGTCCCATAGTTCAATCACGTCAAGCAGAATTGTACAATGGCTACCACAATCAGTTTCCAAACATTCTTTTTCTTTCTGGACCCATTGACATCATCTCCCTTTTACTGTCTCCCCCTAATTCCCCCCACCCACTGTCACCAAAGATTCAACAATCCTGGACTTCATATACCGAAACACAGAAAAACATATAACACAACTTCAAGAGGGTGACCTTCAATGACATAACACCTCTAAGATACACCCTAATATGAACAAAACAAAACTACAGAGAATGTTGAGAATGAGATCAGGTCCAGCATGTGTCAGAGAAGGGGATCAATTTGTTCAAAGCAATGTGGTGTTAAGTGTAGGCTGATATGTGCCTCCTTTTCTGTAGCTCTGATAGCAATGTCTGTCGTATCATCCTCCAGTCATTGCTACCTAACAGTGAAGCTTTCTGAAAGCCTCCATCTATTTTTCCTGCATTTGGCTTAATTGAATAATTATGAGAACATGAATAAATAATTAATGAAACTGCTCTAATAGCTACCAGGCACTGAATTCTTGTTTGCTAGAGTCTGCTATTTTGCCTCAACACATTATACATATCTGATAGATCTTATGTCAACTTGAATTTGTAAGAAAATATAGGGGTGGAGTCCAATCTGTCAAACAGGTCACAACCTGATGCGACTTCCTTAACAGTGTGGCCATTTTATAAGAGAGAAACTGGGAACTCCTACTTCTCTCTCTGCCCCTTCCCCCTCTCTGCTTGCTGAGACTGTGTGTCTGCCATGTAGAATGCCCACCTTAAAAGCCCACCTCCGAACTGCCCTGTTTCCACCAACCTTACATCCAGGAGACCCTGGCCCCACCCACCTTTGCTCCCCTTGCTCTCCACTTCCCTCTCTGTGTCATCAGCCTGCTCCCATGTGAGTCTGGCCCGCATCGGACCCATGGACTTGAGTTGGACTGGGCTGGGATGCTTTCTTGATATTGTTGCCTCAGTGTATAAAGCTTCTTCTTATACATATATGAATATCACTGACTTTGTTTCTCTAGACAACCCAGACTAATATATCTTCTCTATTGTTTTCCATTAAACTCATCTGACTGTTCTTTCTTGTAGCTTTTGCTGAACAGAGGTAACAAAGAGGAGATAATATTTCTTGGTGCATAATTTATAGAAACATTAAAGTGCATTGACTAGTTTACAGTAATTTGAATTCCTCATCTAGAGTTATTTAAGTCTTTTCTAGCAGTATGGATAACTGTAAGTAGTTACTAAGAGATAAATAGATGGTTGAACTTCAAAAAGTTTGAGTTAGGAGAGTTAACATGATTAGCAGCCTCTTTAGATACAATTTTCCAGTGAAATTGCATTTCTTAGTTTTCATGTTTAGAATGATATTCACAGTCCAACTCTCACATTATGAAACTATATAAAAACAAAGATTATTCAATTCCTTTTGTAATAAAGGGAGATATTGGAAAAGAAATGTACTCTGTGCTAAGCACCCCTTTGCTATGAAGTACAAAAAATGGATTTGGGAGGGTATTGTTTATATCTCCACAGGAAAAGAGGGACCAAACTTCAACCCAGTGTTCCAAGGTGTGAAGACAACATGCTGGCGCGGAGTAGGGAATCAGTGGAGAGGTCTAGGGGGCTGGTCCCAGCCCCAAATACTAAGTGGATGCCTGCCCCTCCCCTGAGAAGAATGTATCTCAAA